ATGTAAATGGATTAAATGCACCACTCAAGAGGCAAGAGAGTTGCAGACTAGATAAGAAAACATGACCCATCAATATGCTGTCTAGAAGAGACTCACCTTAGACACAAAGACAAAAACATACTAAAAATCAAAGGTTGGAAAAGATATATCAAGGAAATGGCAATCAAAAATGGGCAGGAGTGGCAATACTTATTTCTGATAAAGAGACTTAGACAAATACAAGCATAAGAGTCAAACAAGGATATTATATAATGATTAAAGGAGCAACTGAAAAAGATGACACAACTAAAATATTTACACACCCAATGAAAGAGCCCAAAAATACATAAACCAGACTTTAACAGAACTGAAAAGACAAATACATGAATCCACAGTAATAGTAGGATACTCTAATATACCATTTTCAATAAAAGATAGAACAACTTGAAAGAAACTCACTAAGACGCAGAAGAATTAAACAACATGATCAGCCAACTTGACCTTATAGACACCTACAGAGCACTTCACCCAACAACAGTACAATATACATTCTTTTCCAGCATACACAGAGCATGCTCCCGGACAGATCAAGTGTTAGGTCATAAAGCCAGCCTCAATTTAAAAACACTGAAATACTGCAAAGCATCTTCTCAGATCACAATGCAATAAAATTAGAAATCAACACTTAGGAAGACCAATGAAAAACGACCAAACACATGGAAAATGAATAAGACCCTCCTCAAAAGCAACTGGGTAATAAAAGAAACAAAAGATGAAATTTAGAAATTCTTTGAATCAAATGAAAATGAAAATATAATATACCAAAATCTTTGGGACATAGCAAAAGCAGTGATGAGAGAGGAACTGATAGCAAAAGACGCACAAATCACAGAAGAAAGAGCGAAAATCAACACCTTAACCCAACATCTCCAATTAAAAAAAGAGCAACAACAATAAAAAATAATAAAGCCTATCGTCACCAGAAGAAAAGAAATAATAAAGATTCAAGCAGAAATAAATGAAACAGAAAGACAATAGAAAAAAATTACAAGGCTAGAAGTTGGTTCTTTGAAAAATTAATAAAATCAACAAACCACTGGCAAACTTAACAAAGGAAAAGAAGATAATGTAAATAACATGAACAAGAAATTAAAGGGGTAACATCACAACAGAACCAAGTGAAATGAAAAGAACAATATCAGGATACTATGAAGAACTGTACTCCAACAAATTTGAAAACCTAGACAAAATGGACAGATTTCTAGAAACACATTACTTACCTAAACTAACACAGACTGAGGTAGAAAATTTGAACAGACCCATAACAAAAGAAGAAATTGAACAGGTCGTAAAAAAATTACAAACAAAAAAAAAAATTCTGCCCAAATTGTTTCACTGGAGAATTCTACCAATCATTCAGAAAAGAGCTGACCCCATCCTATTCCAAACTGACCCCCAAACTATTCCAGAAAACAGAAAAGGATGGAATCCTCCCAAATTCATTTGATGAAGCAAGAATAACCTTGATATCAAAACTAGGCAAAGACATCACTAAAAAGGAAAACTACAGACCAATATCCCCTATGAATACAGATGCAAAAATCTTCAACAAAATCCTACCCAATAAACTCCAACAACACATCAAAAAAATAATACATCATGACCAACAGGGATTCATACCAGGTACACAAGTATGGTTCAACATTAAAAAAAACAATCAACATAATCCATCACATAAGTAAAATAAAGGAAAAGAATCACATGATCATCTCGATGCAAAAAAAGGCATTTGGTAAAATCTAACACCCATTTCTGATTTGAAAAAAAAAAAAAAAACTCTCAGAGAAATAGGAATTAGAGGGAAATTCCTTAAAATAATAAAGGGCATATACGCAAAACCGACACCCAACATTATTCTCAATGGAATATCCCTTGTGAACGGGAACTAGACAAGGATGCCCTATCTCCACTTCCATTCAACATTGTACTGGAAGTCCTAGCCAGGGCAATAGGCAAGAAAGGGAAATCAAAAGCATCCAAATTGGTATGGAAGAAGTAAAACTATCCCTATTTTGCTGATGATATGATCCTATACATAGAAACCCAAGATACTCAACAAGAAAATTACTGTAATATATTGAAAGATTTAGCATAGTGGCAGGATACAAGATCAACATACAAAAATCAGCTGGATTTCTCTACACCACCAAAGAGGTCTCTGAAAAAGAAATAAGGAAATCAATACTATTTACAATACCTATCAAAATGATAAGATACTTGGGAATAAATTTTACCAGGTACACAAAAGAAAACTATAAAACACTACTTCAAGAAACTCTAAGAGATCTACATAAATGGAAAAATATCCACCATGCTCATGGATAGAAGATTGAACACTGTGAAAATGT